GGTGGGGGTGGGGCGGCAGATGCTGCAGGGGGTGGAGGCGGTGGTGGAGCTGCAGCAGGTGGTGGTGGAGGCGCTGCTTTGGGGGCCTCTGCTGCTGCTGGAGCTGCTCCTCCCGTTGCTCCTATGTCAATGCTGCAGAGCTTTTGACCTGCTTTCACGGTCGTACCGTCCTCGACGAACAGCTCTTTTAGCACACCTGCACCTGGTGAAGGCACTGGTACGGAGGTCTACAATAGGGTTTATTCAAAATAAAATAACAGATTTAGGGAATAATGTGGAGGGGGTTGTTTTGAGGGCGAAATCGACGATTCTTCAGTCAAACAATTGTGTTTTTTGGATGAGAATAGAATAATATTCTTGGATGAAATATCTATATTATTACTTTCATGAATTTTACATATTGAAATTCTTATTTAATGAGTATATACTTTCAATTCAGTAATCGAACATTTGAGATATTGGGGAATTAAAGATAAATATTCTTATAAATAGAAAGTTCTTCAATATTTTCCTCTTTGAGTTGCTCTTATCGTTAAAATGATTATGATGTTTACGAATGGCCTCACTCACCTTATCGGTTTCTATCTCACAAAGTACATCATCCTCCTTCACCTGGTCTCCAACTTTCTTCTCCCACCTGACATCTCCCTCACTGACACTCTCAGCGAAGGGTGGTACAACCACGTCCTGCAGTGCCCCTAGATCAAAACGACTCATTCAAAATCATCGTAAAACGTTTTTAATTCCCAATAAAAAATCTCGAAACTTACATAACGCCTGGCTCGAGCGAATTTGTCTTAGTTGATTGTTCCAGCAGTAGCTACCATTGAATCCATTGTGCCTAGAATAACAACTCATCATTCCTCGATCATCTTCTAAAATAAAATCCTCAATTAGGGGAGAGCAGACACTTGACTTTGAAAAAAAATTAATTCATTGAAATGGACTAATTTTTTTTGTCGTAAAGTTTAACTCAATTGATGAATCTACTTCTAAATTATAAACAAAAAGCAGTCAAGTGTCCATTTTGCCCCTACATCCCCTATAAACTTACAAATTCTCTAGTCGAGATCCAGAGCACCTGACCCTCCTCAGGATTCGCCCTGGAAACCGATAAAATCAAATTTGAAAACAAATGCAGAAAACCAACAACAACATCTCAAGAAATAATTACCCTCGTGATGGATGGACCTTGCAACCTGCAACCAAAACGAAACGAATTAGTTAATCTGACAGATATTGCCCCAGCCGCGTCATGGACTAAAAATACCCAAGAGATTCCATGGAATTAGTCACTCAAGAAAATTTCAAATGATGAATGACATTAGGTAATGCCGGTAAGAATGAGCTAATCGGTGACAGGGAGGAAAGCTCCGAGGGAGGTACCAAGATTATGTAATGTAAAAAAAGTCATATTTTGGGCAGTCGATGCCCGACAGGAAAGGATATCGCAGGCAAACACTGAAAAATCATTGCGACACGAGCTATCGTGTGGCAGAAGAGCCGAAGATATGGAGAAAAAAAAGGAATTATGAAATAAAGGAGGGAAATGGGAGCGAAAAAATCATTATATCGTACACGAGACTCACCTTCACACGGGATGATGATGTCAGGCGTGTCAGAGCACGAGGAAACAGACGGGTACAATTGGACAGCATTATTGCAGCCATCCTCAGACTAAAAACAAGATTCTGAGGGCAATACTCTTTATAGTTGAAGCCGTGTCTCGACCCTCGTGATGACAGAGATACAGGGACGAAAAACGGGAGGTAGAGGAGGAAGAAAAAGCGTCGTCTAGAGGACCATAAATGTATCAAATTGGGTGGTGCGTGTTTTTCTCGTCAGATGGTGTGTGAACTTCCAGGCCATAAAGTGGCGACATCTTCGACTTTTTTTTTTCATCATGCGGATGCAATTTTGTTATTGAATATTTTGAAAATTGCGAAACTCCAATTACTCAATTGAGGGAATTTTAGAGAGGGATTTCGCAATTTTTAATGACGATGAAGTCATGGAGATGCGGATAACAACTTCAGTGCCATTATTTTCTCATAAAATCGTTTGATTGCGGGGAAATGCGTAAAACGGATCCGCTTCAATCATCAATGAGTCGAGAATGACAGGTCAAATTTCCATTTTTTTTTTCCTTCAACTTCTTCTAATTATTATGTTCTATGTTTTTTACCCGTCCAACTTCTAGGTTTTACGGGCCGCTATCCCCTTTAATCGGGACATTTCTTTAAATTACTAAAATGACACTTGACTCATTCCAATCGTATCATTCGGTCAGGAGATATTGACAATTGAACAAAATCTGTTTTTTTTAAGTATTTTGAGTTTAATTTTTTACTTCTTCAATAAGAGTACAAATGTTCACTCTTGAAGTGGCAACAACGAAATAATAAGAATGATAATTTAAAGGAAAAAACATTCTCTCGTGGATAATGAAAAATTTTTTTCCTCTAACGTAACAATTTTTAAAAATTATTCATGCAACCAATGTTCTGCATTTTTCCGTTCACCGAAGCTCGATAAATACGAAAATTTATCACAATTAACATAAAGCGAATTGCGAGGTAAATCGGCTCACGTCAGCGTGAAAAAACGCCAATCCGTGGGGGTTTGGTATCACAAGTAATATAATATCGCAAACACGTACAACTGCTCAGTACGCGCCTTGTCTCTGCGGCGCATTGTGTTATTGCAACTGATGTTTGGTATCGAGGCATCGAAAGATGGCTGATACAACCCGACACCTCCAAATGTCAAATCTCGTGGTATTGTTTACAATAGGATTGCTCTCTTCAGCCATCGGAGCACGGGTTAAAATACCCCTGGAGAGTGTATCAGATTTGTTGATTCAAAGTGCATTGGATTCGCTGAATGAAGAATCACCGACCAAACACACTTACAAAGGTGGAAATCTCCTAAGTGCGCAGAAACTGGTAATTATTATTACTTCTCAATACTTGACGAATTTTGGGCTATTTATGGAGCTATTGGGGTCGCAAACTACTAGTTCAGTGGGTGAAAAAAATAATATAAACTTTGTATTGATAAGATATCGAGGGTTAATAGTTCACTCACTAGAGAGATAACTGTACTCGATTGTGCTTCTTTCTCCCAATGAAATTCTCACTTTTTTTCAAGTTCTAGGTGAAAGCATTCCAAAAAATTCATCTCAAAAGATTTAATGTCAAAATAGCGTGAAAAAACTAAACAAGTTAAAAAATTGATGTCAAGCAATTCCTGAAAAAAATTCACAATCGAAAGAAATGTATAGAAATATGAAATTCAGCGGAATGTTATCGCTTTTGTATAAAATATTTTCTAAAGCTGCGGAATTTTGCAGAATAGAGTAGAACTCCAACAGAATCTTCTGTGAAATTCAAAAGATTCTTTCACAAAATTTTTCTCCGAAGAAATATTGCCAGAAGTAATTAACCAGATAATATTTAAATTTTCAGCAAAGTCCACCTTACGTAATCTACCGTCTCACCCTAAACTTAGAAACAAATTGCGAGGAATTCTCGTGTCCCCGTGAGGCCTGTGCAATTGAAATAAAACAGCACAAATCAGGAGTGATAGAGGTGGACAATGCATCAAAACAATGCATGTACCTCTATCCACAGTCAACCCAGAGTAGTTCCCAAGATATCCCCGAGGATCAGATAATAGAGAGCCTGGACAGGCAGATAAATGACAGTGTGAAGCTTGATCACGAGGTGCAGGAGGTCTCGGACCACAACGATCGTCCCTTCATAGCAGTGAGAGCCTCGCACTACTGTCCAGGATGTCCGTACGAGCTGAACCCAACGCTTCCAGGTCTGGCGGCGTTCGGAGAGCTCGCAGCAATGTCTTTAGATGAATCTGGTAAAAGTGACTTCAAGCACAGGATTGTCAGCATCGTGAGGGTCACCAGGGCTGTGCCCCCGGGGTCTAACGTCGTTCGTTATGAATTTCTGATGGAAGTGGGGGAGACAAATTGCCTCAGAACAACCCAAATTGAGAGGTCAGAGTGCCCTCTCCAATCGAACATTCCGATAAAACTCTGTCTTGTGAGGATCGACGAGAAACCCTGGCAGCACAACAGCAGACAGTTGACCTTCAACAACTGCACGGATTCGGATAAAATCAATGAATTAGGGGGAAAGATCGATCCCACATTGACGAGTGAGTCCTTGATTCGAGAAAATATTTACAGTGAGGATGACTCACAGCAGGAGATTTATGATCAAGTGGCACTCGAAGGCCAAGTTAGCACATATCAAAGTCCCATTGATGCGTCACCAGTTTCAGTTCCGACAGCCGGCACCTCCGACTGTTTGCATCAATCATTCGTGACAGAAGAACCTTTCACTAAGATTGTCATTGGAACGGAGAATGCACCCCAAGAAATCCCGAGGTTTGCAGACAAAATTAAGGAGTTTGATGATTTTTTGAAGGACTTGGATGTCGAAATTAAATCCACGACGGAGGGGAATCATGGACCTGAGGTTGTGGAGGAGACAATTCGTCCGGAGAGGGTTGAAATCAGAGAGTTGAATCAGTCTGGAGAGCAGGAGCCCTCGGTGGAGATCCGGAGAAAGAAGAGGGCTGTTGAGAAGGGAATTAACGAGAAAAACTTGATATTGAAGCTCTCGCAGAAGGCGATGAAGATTCTGGACGAGATGGACAGTGATGACAGCAAACGCGTGATAGCTGACATCGTGGATTACAGGAGAATAAATTACGAAGGATTTCTTTATCAGATTACGCTCCTGGTGGCTCCAATGAGCAACTGCGATGAGGGTCACGATAAAATCAAGGATTGCAGGCATGACCCCGAGTCACAGCCCATGAACATGTGCAAATTGCAGATTCAGACGGATGATAAGAGCACGGTTGACACTGCTAAGGTTGTCCAGTCCCAGTGTTACGAGATTGAAAATCGAAGGAAGAGGCAAGTTGTTGGGGCGCCCAACGGCATTTCTGTGGATGATCAAGTCGTGAAGGATTACGTGAAGAAAGGATTGAAGAAGTATTCTGCAGGACTCCAGGGGACCAATGAACCGATGATTGTTGATGTGATTGGGGCAACAAAGCAGGTGGTGGCTGGATCTCTGTACAAGATCAAAGTGAAGATCGGGGAGAGCAATTGTCCGAAGGGAACTGAAGTACTGGAGACCTGTCTGCTCAGAGAAAATAATCCTGTTAAGGAGTGCTTGATCAAGGTTTGGTCCAAGCCCTGGGAGAATTTCGAGGAAATCACAGTCACGTGTGACGAAACACGAACAAAACGATCCTTGGAATTTAGGAATGACGAGTTGAGACGCAGAAGAGATGTTGTTCTTGGAGGCCCAGAGAATATCCCTGTGGACCACCCAGATGTGAAAGATTACGTCAAGAAAGGATTGAAGAAATATTCTTTCGGTCTTCAAGGAACCAACGAACCAGTCATCGCTCATGTGATCAAAGCCACCCGTCAGACAGTCGCTGGATCTCTTTACAAGATCGACGTGAAAATCGGCGAGAGCAATTGTCCGAAGGGAACTCAAGTACTGGATACCTGTCTGTTGGTGGAAAATAATCCTCTCAAAGAGTGCACGATCAAGGTGTGGTCTAAACCCTGGGAGAACTTCGAAGAAGTCACTGTCAAGTGTGATAAGAACCGAGAAAGAAGATCTTTGAGATCTGATAAACGTGCATTGAGACGTAGGAGACAAATTCCCGGAGGCGTGAGCCCCATCTCTGTGGATCATCCAGACGTTCAGGCTTACGTGCAGAAAGGCCTGCAGCAATATTCCTCAGGTCTTGAAGGCACGAATGAACCAATTGTCATTGAAGTGACAGAAGCAACGCAGCAGGTGGTAGCTGGTATTCTCTACAATATCAAAGTGAAAATCGGCGAGAGCGACTGCCCCAGAGGAACAGCAGCAATGGAGAACTGTCTTCTAGTAGAGAACAGCCCAATCCGGAAGTGTCTGATCGAAGTCTGGTCGAAACCCTGGGAGGACTTTGAAGATATCAAGGTCGATTGCACGCCGATACGAAAAAAAAGAGCCCTAAAGGGCGCAAATTACTCCCAAAAAATGCTCGGGATCTCGAAACAGATTGAAGCCCAGAGAAAATTCAGGAGTTTCGAGGAGACATACAACAAAGTCTACGCATCCGAGGAGGAACGGGCAGTAAGATTCAGAATTTTCCAAGAGAACATGGAGATTGTTAGAAATCTCCAAGAGTACGAACAGGGAACAGCTGTCTATGGAGCCTCGATGTTCGCAGATCTGACGCCCCACGAGTTCAGATCGAAGTACCTGGGGTACCGTCCAGACCTGAGAATCGAGAATCACATACCCCTGGCTAAAGCAGAAATCCCACACATCGAATTACCGAAAGAGTTCGACTGGCGTCACTACAATGTCGTGACTGAAGTCAAGGATCAGGGGTCATGTGGCTCGTGCTGGGCCTTCTCGGTTACCGGAAATGTCGAAGGACAGTATGCCATCAAGCACAACAAGTTGATATCCTTATCCGAACAGGAGCTGGTGGACTGTGATAAACTGGATGATGGGTGCAGTGGAGGCCTCCAGGAGAATGCATATCGAGCTATCGAACAGCTAGGTGGACTAGAACTGGAGCACGATTATCCTTACGATGGAGAGGATGAGCAGTGCCACTTCAAGAAGAACAGGGCAGTTGTCCAGATTGTTTCTGCCGTCAATATCACCTCCAACGAGACACAGATGGCCCAGTGGCTGGTGAAGAATGGACCAATGGCCATCGCAATTAATGCCAATGCCATGCAGTTCTACATGGGAGGGGTGTCCCATCCCTTCAAGTTCCTCTGCGATCCTGGTAATCTTGATCATGGAGTTCTCATCGTCGGCTACGGCGTCCACACGTACCCATTATTCAACAGGATCATGCCGTACTGGCTGGTGAAGAATAGCTGGGGAAAACGATGGGGTGAACAGGGGTATTACAGAGTCTACAGGGGCGATGGCACCTGTGGACTCAATGCCGATGTTTCTAGTGCGATTGTTGCGTAAGGGCTGTGCGAAGGGTTCTTTTTTAAGGGTGGATATTGAAGTTTTTTATGAATATTTTATTCTCTTCGAATGATAATGTAAAAAAGATGCATTCAAAGTGAGAAATTGTGGATCCATGACCTTTTGGGAAGCTTAAATGACAATTTTTTGGCGTTTTTTTAATTCTATTTATAAACGAAATACTCAGTCGTAAATTTTCTTTAATTTTTGTGCCAAAAAACAATGAGGCGTATCAGTTTTTTACGGATTTTGGTTTCTTTGTGATAAGGAAATGACATTTCCTCATCACAAATGAATTTATCATCTTTTTTACTTGAAATTGATTTATTCTTGGTTATTTTGTCATTTACTAACTGAAGTAGGATATATTTTTGAATATTATGATCAATAAATGAGACAACGATTATTAACATATCATCGATCTGTCTTGATTCAATTAATTTTACTTATATGTAAAATGATATTTACGCGGTGAATCTCCAAAAAATTTATTAGCAGATTCGTGGTACATTGTACAACTAGACAGAGACTATACCCTTTAAATCACTAATGTAAAGTTAATGAATTGATATTTCTCAAGTAAAATGATAATTGGATGAAGTAAATTGTCAGTTATTACACGGCAAATTGAAATCGTACAATTGGAATCAACAGAAGAAGATTATCAACTAAAAATAATTAGTTTTTTTTTGTTTTTTTTTCGTTCTGCTCTCATCATTCTAAACATTCAATGTAAAAGCACGAGTAACGAGTCAGTGTCAATGAAATCTTTCGACTCGATTATCGTTAAGATCACTAACAGTGATTGTAAAATGTTCATAATTCATGTGCAACATCTTTCGACGCCAATTAATTAGTAGTAATTGTACGATCCCCATTGGTTGTACGATCCATATGGCTGTGGTCCACTCTGTCCATACTGCCAGTTCTGGTAATTAGCGTAGTTGGGATCCGATGGTGGGGGATACTGCTGGTAGCTCTGTTGGTATCCACTTTGGTTTCCATACTGGCCACTTTGGAATTGCTGTTGTGACTGGTAGGGACCACTCGCTGAACTGCTGTACTGGTAGCTCGATTGGGAACTCGCTGTAGGTGGGGGAGGAACACTCGAGGTATCTGATGTTTTTCCTTTCTTCGGTGGTGATGAATCTCTGCACAAAACGAAACGTCAAAATTCAAAATTCATTTCGATATTTCGTAATCTCAAAGAATGATCTAATGCAGGGAAAATTTTTTATTTCTTCAAGAATACTCTCAATATATTGTTGTGCACTTGCTATTTTTCTTCATTTCAATAATCTTCATGTATAATCGTCTCTTTCTAATTATTTCTTTAAATCCTAATCAACTTAAATTGAGTCCATCGAAAAAGAACAGAGAAATTTCCTGTAAAAATCTTCAACTTTCGTTCCAAACTTTCGTTCAATATAGAATTCCTAAAAAAAAATAGAAATAAATTTCAGAATAAATACTCACACTTTACTGTCCTCACTCTTCGACTTCTTCCTCTCCTTCGCCTGCTTGATGCACTTCTGGAACTGTTCATGCGCCTTTAGCACCTGTTTGATATCCGTACTGAAGTCCTCCAAGAACTCCACCTTCCTCTGAGCAAACAACACCCTCTGCTCGAGATCAGCATGCTCTCTCTCAATAAACAAATCCATGTACCCCACGACCTCCTGTGTATCCACAGGGTTCCTCTGGAGTCCCAGATCAATCAACTGGAGATACAGCCTGGGATTATCCTTGTCCTTGTCGGTCGCCTTCAGAAGCACCTTGACAGCCTTATCAATGTCATTCCTGAATTTACAGAGGAACCTCGCGTACTTGACAGCAATATTATTCGCAATTGTTCGATTCTTGCTGTTGGTTATGTAGCTCTCGTAGAGAACACAGGATTTATCCAGATCCCCCCTTCGTCTCTCCAGATTAATTCTTCTGTAAGCGACCTGGAGCATGTTGGGCATGACGTTGTCAATGTTCTCGAGGATCTCAGCGGCTTTATCAAAGTTGCTCTGTCCCTCCTCGAAGGTCGCCCATTGCAAATGAAGATTAGGCTTTTTCGGGTGATGGACTGTGCAGGCTCTCGAGTAGACATCTCGAATTTTCTCGGCATTGTCGCCAGTGAGTGACTCCAAGTACCTCACGAATCTCAACCAGAACTCGTCGTACAAAGCACAAGCTATCAGACATCGTTCGAACAGAATTATTATTCTGGCCTGGTCCTTCTGCTCGATTTCAAAGTCCAGGTACTCCTTCCAGTTCTTCAGTTGACATCTCTCGAGGGGTTTCACGTGGAAGTAAGGACGTTTAATTCCCTCTTCGTAGGTCCATCTGGCAGCAACGGCGTTGACATTGGCCTTGTGCATTTTGCGTCTTGTGCTGATGATCTTCTCTCGAATGACTCGGGTTTCCTCGTCTGTTGGTGGCACCTCGTGGGCTGCGGGCTCCTCCCCTGGGGGCACGTCGTCTGCAGGAGTTGCTCCTGGGGTCTCCTCGGATTTCAAGAGGGCTTTGACTTCAGCACGAATTGCCAGAAAATCGTCGACGGTGAGGATCCGCTGGGGGGAATTTGCCGAGACAAACTCTTGGAACGTTTGGAAATGCGTCATGTAGCCGAAGGTTGGGGTTGACAGGAGGCGGTCGTAGAGGGCTGTTACTCGACTCAGACGCTTTCCCTCTTGCTCCCATTTTATGTAGCTTTCCCAGAGGCGATCGGATCTGTGAGTTGTGGAGAAATATTTTTGATTTCTTAATGGGATTCTATTTTCTTGTGATAAAAGAAAAAGATTCTTCTCGAAATCATGAATATCAATGAAGCAAATGATGAGAGAAATATATTCTGAATATACTTTGTCATTTTTACAAAATGACTGAATTTTTCTCCTTATTTCATCTTTTTACGGATGGAGATAATTTCAACTTCTACTTAAAATTCAAGAGAAATGATGAATCATTTTTCGTGCCCATTCTACTCATTACCTTTTATTGTCTGAATTGTTATGTAATTTTGGTTCTTTGTGACGACAAAAAATGAATCATGCCTCTCTCTTTGAAAAGTGCTCATGCAATCAATGAATTTTATTTCACCTCACCTAAATTCCAAACCACAAGCCTGAATAGCCCTCTCATACTGCTCCCTCATCTTGCCCTCATCCTTCTCATGAACACTCTTACAATGATTGATGTAATGTAGCCACAAGTCGACACTGAGCGAAATAGCATTCAATCCTTCATCGAATACCTGTGATTTAATAATGATTAAAAACCAATTCCCAACACACTGAAACCTTAACTCAGCCAATGAAAATTGGCCATTGGATTGTACCTAATTCTTATTAGCTCTCGTAAGCGTATAGTGTCTCATCTCTTAAATGTACTTTTTTATTTCATGTTGTTTCTTATTCTTAATTCTTAATACTCACATTAACAAGGCACGCAACTGTAAATAAATTTATTGAATAGTTAACACAGAGATTGCTGAGCAATTGTGCATTCACCTTTAGAGAGTCAGGGAGTGATTCCTTATTCGAGGGTGCCTCTGTCTCTTCACACAGCCCATTATTGCTCTTGGAGACCGGTTCAACGGCAACGTGTGCGTGTCCTAAGTACCTCGACTCAATATTTTTTTTCGCTCTCTTTTTTTTTTGTCTTTCTCTCGCTTTTATAATTTCATTTTTACAACGCCACGTGATAAAACCGATTCATACAAGGATTTATAACGCAAGAAAATACTTAATGTGTTTCTTAATAAAAAACATTATATTACAATACTTTCCGCAGTTTCGCTACGTGTACAAAATGCTTACAGTAATTAAATAACAAACACCACACACATTAATTAAAATCGCCACGAATTCGTGTAATAATAATTATCATTGGAAACAAAACAAAGCTCTTACGTATTTCAATTATAAAATATATACGATTATAACGATATGGTAATTTCATTCAATACTTTGATGGTAATTTTCTAGTACGAAAGAATCAATTAATCTCATCTAGGATGAGATTACTCAATAATTTATTTAACTGATAAAACGAAGAGAGTTGTATGGGTGCCACAAGACGTGCTAGGCTGTTGGAAGGGAATACCATATTTACGTGCGTGCACACTGCCCACGCGTCTTCCTAACTCGAGCTATTGTTCATTAGATTTGCGTTAATTAATTTGATAATTATTTTTTTTTATTTGTTTTTTTTTTGTTACCATATAATCATATATATAGATTTATTTTTAAGTAATTTTCGTGAATAAAGGGGGATGTATTCACTCACCTTTTGTACATTGTCCGGATTTCCTTTCTTCTTCTCGTAATCGGCGTATTTCCGCCAGTAACCGTAGCAATAGGGATAACGCTCGAGAAATTTCTCGTATGCTTCACGCGCTGCTTCTGCATCATTCTAAAAAAATTTAAATTGAATTGTCAGGCTCAAGTCAGAAAATAATTTTTTTCAATGAATTAATTCTTCTGGGGGATTAGTTATTCAATTCATCGATCACTCAATCAATTTTTTTCTTCAATAAAATTGTTTTCTTGCAGAAAATCATTGAGAATAAATTAAAATTGCGATGATGATCAATTTTTTCGCTTTAGATCAAATTAAATCAATGAAATTGATGGAAAAAAAATTATGCTCACTTCTTGATCAACATATTGCAAGAGATATGTCCACCCAGTGAAGTCCGATGGATCCTCATTAACAGCCTTCCAGTATTTATCAAGTTCTGGCAATGTTTTCTTCTTGGGCGATGCTGGCTTGGCCTCTGGTTTTTCCCCAGCCTCTACATCCACAGCAAGTGCAACTTTTTTCGCTGGTGTCTCATCATTAGTCTCAGACGTTGGTGAACTGGGGTCATACTCCCCCTCTGCATTTAATTTACGCTTGGCCCGAACGTCAGCCTTGACTTTTCTCTCAGCTGTTTTGGCAGCTGTCTTGGCTGCCTTTCGTTTCTTCTCGCTGTCTGGGGGAAGCTCATCCTCAGAGACAGATTCAGTTTCGCCCAGGTCTGCTGGAGGTGCCACTGGCAGTTCTTCGTCTGACACTGCCTCGGTCTCAGGCTCCTAATCGATGAAACAGGGGATTAATGTCATTTCTTTTCGTGGTGATGGGAGATTGGAATAAGGAAATAGGGAACTTGCGTCTAGGATACGTGATACCTCTAGGAGAAAATCACTGGGTATAAAATCGTCGTCAGACACATCTTCCATATCACAAACATACTGCATTCAATGAAAAGGAAAAGGTTTCTTTAAGGATTGTGAACAATTATTTAACCAAATATTCAGATATATTTCTCGGGGGATAATTGATAATTTTCATTGCATTAAAATCGTCTTTAAGTCTGTGAAGAGGTGTTCTATCAATAATTATGACGATGTGGCGTACCTTAGCAGGCGCCTCAGTAGGGAACTCGTCCTCAGAGACAGCTTCAGTATCAGGCTCAATCTTCTCCACCTCTCCTTCAACCTGCCCCTCGCCCTCACCAACGTCAACCCCCTCCCCCTTCTCAATTGCAGTTTCCTCAATTTTCTTCTCAACCTCAGCCTCCTTCGTCTCCTCCGCAACAATTTTTTCAAATGACTCATCAACAATGTCATCAACAGCATCAGCAATCTGTTGTACTGGGTCATCGATCTCCATGGTGGTAACGATTGCCTTAGTCTCTTCATTCCCAGGTTCATCATTCAACAGTGGAATTTCTGCTGAAACAATCGTGTCCATGACATCCCCAAAGTCCATAATCTGATTGGAATCAGTGTTTCCACCGTTGATGGCCTCATCCACAGGATTATCCTCCTCTGTCTGGAGCATTTGCTCTAAACTGTTGTCCTCCAGAGTGATCACTTTGTCCTCAGTGTCCTCCACAACCTGGGGAGTCTCCTTGGTCTTCAGGGTGGATAGAATTGGTGCTGTGGGGGTATTTGTACTCACAACTGGTGGTGGTGGGGCTTCTAGTTCAGGCACTCCTTGGGTCTCTTGATCCATCTGGGCATACTGAGCGCTATCCGTTGTCTGGGGCTCCTCCAACTGTAGTTGCAACACTGGGGTCTCTTCCTCAAATTGTTCAACCATTATTTCACCTAATTGTTGCATACCATTCTCACCTGTCTCACTGTTGTCGTCAGTCTCTTCTAATATTGTTGTACTAGTCTCCTGTGTAAAGAGGAGCATGAAATCAACATCTTTAGTAATTAATGAAAATTAGTTGCAGTAGTTTTATGAGAATGATCTTGTAGAATTGATTTTTAAATGGCAATTCATCAAGTGTAGGACTCTGAGAACAAAATTAGAAAGGGATTTCAGAGGATTGGTTTATTTAATTTATTATTTATGCAGAAGGAAGAGTGAAGAAAATAATAATAGTATTCATTTCTCGATTTATTGGAAACAAAAGTAAGGGTAATTGTTGTTTTTTGTGAATAAACGAAGTGTAAAGCCCTGAAAAGACAACAACTCACATCAGTTGTGTCAATTTCCTGAGCCCCTCGCCTGGTATTTCTACCCCTAATAGCTTTCTTGGCGGGTGTCTTTTTCGGTGTGGCAACTGGTGCCTTGAGTGCGCGTCCAGATCTCGTTCTTCTTACTTTAAAAATAGAGAGCACAGAGTTACCACTAGAAATGCAATGAAATTCAATTACAACAGCTTTTTTTTAACATCAATAAATGACCTATAGCGACGATATTAATGGCGGTTATTTATCGTGACCTCGTGATAATGCCTGTTACACGCAATGCCGGGTAACTAAATCCCAAATAAGAAGAAAACGCATTCCCATGCTAAACAACTGTTGAATAATCAAATCAATCTTGATTACGTTATTGATAAGATGAAATAATAACAGTATATGTTGAATTGTTTAATATCCTTGGAAACGAGGTAAATACCTGGCTCGTTCTCCTCGATTTGATTCTCATCGCCACTCAACGAAGACATAATCGGCTGTTACAATTATCCCCCACTTCGAGTACGTACGGCTAAAGCCACAGTTTGTACTCAATAATTTCCACAGAGAATCGTACGTATTCGTTTGACTGGAAGTTAAACGATAGTATATCACTCGTGTATGATCCCAATGTACGTGAAAATAAATGCCTAGTGACGCGGTTATGATTGTAGTCTTTTTTACGATTTTGGGATAATTCGTAACTCCGCAAGACAGCGCTGTGTGGCATTCAAAATGGCCCCGTACTCCGAGGATTAGGATCAGGAGGTGATACTGTAGATGCTGATAACGTAAATTTCTACTGTCGACAGGGGGGAAATTTACTTTGTCCACTGGAAAACCCGGGAATTTTTGGAATTCCAGGGAAACTATTTCCATTAGCATTTGCGAAAGATAATTTTTTTTATACTACTTAAGACGAGTGGGTGGGGCAAAATGGACACTTGGTACTTTTTAAAAAATCTCAATTACTGATTGAATTTTCAATTAAGGGTGATATTTTTTTTCATTGAAAGTATAATTCAGTAGCGAAGGTAAAACGGTTCAAGTCGCCTCATCTCCCAGTTGAGTTTTTGAGGAATATTTCCGAATCTAAGGGAGATGGCGAAATTTTCGTAATCACATTTGTTGTAGCACTCAATCGGCTCTACAAAAAAGCTTATGACAACAATTTTTGTATCTCCCTTAGATTCCGAGATATTCATTAAAAACTGATCAATAGTCAAAATTGACTTGGACCATTTTACCATTTCGCTACTGAATTATATTCTGCTGTGATGAACCCAGATTGAACCCAATTGCCTACTTCGCTTCAGAGTTACAGACATGAAGAGATAAATAAAGCGTTCAGTTCGCCTCACACCCCCTGCGTACAACTTGATCAGTGTGAAGTCAGTTGTTGAATTAACAATCCAATATTCAGTATTCGAATTTGTTGGATAGTTTTCCGCCTGTCCCTTAACCCACATTCGACATTCCCATGAATCGACATTCCACTCCACCAATCAAACCAGTGAATGACGATAAATATTATTATAAATATAACCTAACACTTCTGCTCAACAAATTCAACGTCAGTCATCTCCAGAAAGCATAAAAACCATTGGAAACCAGTTCTCCCCGACTTGTCCGAAGTCTGCAGTCTCTACCCAAGGTAAAAACCCCCTAATCCCCCTCGTCGCGCAAAACTATCAACACAATCAACGAAAAAAAAAAAAAAACCACGAAAAAACGTGAATTCCTGGGTTTCGTGTTGCCTTTGAAGTTCCCCCAGACGTGCAAAACCTCGGAGATACTTATCCTCGGCATTCACGCATCCCCAATTCCTAGTGGGTGGGAGAATAGAGAAGGGTTGTGCGCAGAATTGTCAGGTAATAGTACCCGAGAGAATCTCTCTCTCTTTCTCTCGAGTTTGTGCCATTGCGCACTGGTATTTTATCATCGCAATTTCTGTGGTATTTCCATGGGGTTACAAACACAATCGATATCTCTGCGTGTTGGTATTTTTCAAGGGAAAACACGGCAGTACGCCAGTGACACCCGAACAGTGAACACCTGTCGAGTTTTATTTCAATTTTTCCACTTAAATTAATTCGCATGTCTGAATAGACTCGTCCTGGGGGTGCCTGAATGGATCAAGATGATCCTTAATTTTTTCCACTGATAGTTTACCATTTTTATAGGTAAATTTTTCTTGTTGAATGCCTCTTATCTCACGAAAATTGGGGGAAATAAATAGTTGGACTCGTCCAGATCATCTGATTGTCCTCCCACCAGGTGCCCAGGCAATGTGCAACGTTAGAAAATTTATTTCAATAGTTAAAATTATAAACGAAGGGTTTTTTCGTATTAACGGTGAGTTTAGAGATGTCTTACAATGATGGCGGTCGTTCGGTACGTAAATCAGGCTCAAAAACGCCGAAAAATTTACGAGTGACGTCTAATGACAACGGGGGTAGGGCCATCACCACCATAAATACCTACAATGGACAGAGAAATTTTGTGGAGGGTCCTCATCCCTCCGTGCACAAGAGAAATCTCTACATCGTGTCTTTTCCCCTCATTCTCCTGTTCAACGTGCTGAGGACACTTCTGTACCAGTTGTTCATTGTTTTCAAGTATATTTATGCCTCGACGAGTCATCTGATTCAGAGGAGGCACGCAGCTGCCGCTGCCAGGGGTCAGTGTCATCTGGAGATTGTTGTTGGAAGTGAGAGGGGTCTTAAGGAGGAGATTTTGGTGGTGGATAAGGAGGAGATGGCGAATTTACCCAGGAGGTCTGGACCTGGACCTGCTGATCCACTTCTTGCTAAGCAGAAGCATCATCACAGGAGGGCTTTTGAATTCATCAGCAAGGCCCTGAAGATTGATGAGGAGAATGAAGGTGATTGAGGAGTTGAGGATTTGAGAATGAAGTGGTGAATTGATGGGAGATCTTTGGTCGTTTTGAAATCCTCATCAGATAATGCAAGAGGGCACTCTCTGCAGCTGAAAAAACTTCTCGGTATCAAAATAATTCCATAATTGTTTAACTGAGTGAAACCAGTTGTTTCGATTCTACAAGTTCTCTATTAATGAGTTAATTTATAAGGAAATGTCCTCGAAGAGAAAAAATTCTCTCCAGAATTTTTGTGATTACAAAAAATGTAGAAAATCGACATCATCTATGTTTTCACCACTTCATTTATAAACGGATCTAAAAATAATTGTCACTCAATTGTTAACCATCAAATCGATTATCTCCTTTTTCACCTGAAATAGGGCACAAAGAGATGGCAATAGAGCTGTACAAAAAAGGAATTGGTGAGCTGGAGAAGGGAGTTGCAGTCGAGTGTTATGGAGGTCGTGGTGAAGTGTACGAACGTGCTCAGAGGCTGAATGAAAAAATGAGAGCGAATCTCGTAATGGCTAAAGACAGACTCGACTTTTTGGGTACAATTTTCCTCTCGTTAATCATCACTCAGATGAGACAAATCATTAGTCGTTTGTAAATGTGATTATTTCTGCATCAGGTCATACTCATCGTATTTATTTCACTGTTTTTTTTTTTAAATTACGATCAGCATGGCAGTTATTTATTACTATTCTTTTTATTATTTTCCCCTTAGCAAGTGTTTGTGCACTGAAAAAACTGGAAGTTAATGATGAGACACAAGGAAGCGAAGAAACTCCTCATGAAACATCTAGTTATGGGATTAATCATGGGATTAATAATTCGAGGCTGAGAAAAAATATTAAAAATCATTCACGTACTGTTGATCAATTGACTGACGCTAATAACAGTAGGGAAAATAATAAAATACATACGACACACAGTACACAGACACATGTGAGACCGATGGAGAGGCCAGGGAAAATTATATCACGTCCCTCTGAAGGTATTATTATAAAAAATTACTGTCGATGTACATTGTAAGATGAAAAATTGCACAGAACCAATTGTATTTTTATTCCAATAACACTCGAGAACAGTGGGGATACAGCGTAACACTTGCTATTTTTATTTTTATTTTGTTATTGTGCATTTGGTGAGCATTTTTCTCGTGGGACTCTGCTTTTTGACGCCTACTTGTTTAACCCACACATCGACTTTGGAAAATTACATTGAAATAATTATTGATAATTGATTAACTGACATCGAATGCAGTAAAAACTCGACTTGAAAAAATCACCATAAAAGTATGAAACCGATCTTCATGCTCACGTGTTCCATTTACTCTTTATAGGCGTCAAAAAATTAAGTTTCGTATTTTTCAAGTCTAGTATCAACCAAAATCCCCCCAGAAAAAACTGAACCACCGAATTTTCTCTCTAGCCTCAGGCCGGAAGTTAGTCCCAGGCAAGCGTCACGCAGGTTCTACAATCACCAAAAGCCAAACACTCCCCCGAAGCATGGGTCGATCCCCAGCAGCCCTCCCCTGTCACAGAACAGCCGCCTTGAAGCCCAATTCAACCCCTCCCTCCATTCGTCGTCAGCTCTCAATTCCCGGCTCTTCCTCCCCAATCCGTCGTCCAGGCACCCCAGGGAGTTCAACTGCGTCAGCCAGAGGCACGCCTCGAAAGGTTCCCCTGCTGAAAGGAGTGGATCCCAAACTGGCCCAGGTGATTCTCGATGAGATTCTAGAGGGGAGTGCAGCTGTGCAGTGGGAGGACATAGCGGGCCAGGAAGTGGCCAAGCAAGCCCTGCAGGAGATGGTGATCCTGCCTTCACTGAGACCAGAGCTATTCACAGGGCTGCGAACCCCTGCCCGAGGATTGCTCCTCTTCGGTCCCCCTGGCAACGGGAAAACCCTGCTCGCTAGGGCAGTGGCAACCCAGTGCAATGCCACTTTCTTCAGCATATCAGCAGCTAGTTTAACGTCGAAATACGTCGGGGAAGGGGAGAAACTCGTGAGGGCTTTATTCGCCATCGCCAGGGAGCTCCAGCCCTCCGTCATCTTCATTGACGAGGTCGACTCGTTATTGAGTGAACGAAGGGACAACGAGCACGAGGCCTCCAGGAGGCTGAAGACCGAGTTTCTGGTGGAGTTTGATGGACTCCCCTGCAGCCCCGATGAGAGAGTTCTGGTGATGGCTGCCACCAACAGACCGCAGGAGCTCGACGAAGCAGCTCTCAGGAGGTTCAGCAAGAGGGTCTACGTGACTCTGCCTGATCTTGACACCAGGGTCATTCTCATGAAACGTCTGCTGGGGAAGCACAACGATCCTCTGTGTGATGAGGAACTCCAGGAGGTGGCTGTCCTCACTGAGGGCTACTCTGGCAGCGATCTCACTGGACTCGCCAAAGATGCCGCCCTGGGGCCCATTCGAGAGCTCAATCCAGAGCAGGTGAAGGCTCTTGATCTCAATCTCGTGAGGAATATCACTATGAAGGATTTTTTGGACTCTTTGAAGAGGATCAGGAGGTCTGTTTCACCGATGAGTCTTGCTGGGTATGAAAAGTGGAGTCTTGAGTATGGAGACGTTAGTCTCTGATTTATGAAGGGCCCGTTCAAGGGCCGACGTAATTCTTGAGAAACAAGGGTGATGAAGAATTCAATGAGTCATTGGTAATTTTGAGGGGTAATGGGTCTTCTGTAATGACTCGTTTTACTACTTTGGTTGTGAAAACATCACAAATCCTTTTTAAAATTTATGTCGATGATATTTACGCAGTAATTGATTACTTAATGGGATTATTAATTAGGGTCTTGGAGATTAGACTTTTGGTTTGGGCTCTTGCGACAACGAACGAATGACTGACGCTTATGAAATTATTTATTTTCTAGTAGGGATTTTCTAGGTATTTATTGTTCACTTTTTGATTTTTTTTTTTCCGTGAAGGATTGGTTGAGGAGTATTGAGTTGCCATTAATTGCGTTCATTTCCCAGTGAATTTGTTCAATTCCAATTGTTTCTGCATGCAGGCATGTAGGGAGTCCCCATCCCTCAGTAATGGAGGAAATTTATCATTTGTAATTGAGTGGAGTAAGGAGTTGTCTCCTTAATCAACTTCGTTACAGACAATCTTTGAATATAAATAATGATATTGTAATTGTACGTCAGCATTCAAATTCAATTGGTCAAGTGATACTTGACAAATTATGAATGTGATATTTTAAACGAATAATGTAACTCTATTATTCCAATTAGTAGTCGCTATTATTGCTATGCAACATAAAAATGAGTACAAAATGCAAGGCTGTAACATAAATGAAAAATGTTCAAGTTTTGGTTTGGAATTTTTGTTAATTCGATGCTTCGTATTTTGATTGTTGGGAAAATGGAGTCAAGACTTCCTCGAATTTTTCAAGATGATTATCATGTACATAAGGAACTTTCCATTTTATTTCTGCCGAAAAAAAAAGCGCCTTGAGATAGAACAAAGTGAAACTATCCATTATATAACGCTCAAATTTGTATTTTCGAGGGCTAATTGTCAGCTGACGAGTAGAATCCACGTCCATGAAATTTAAATTGAAATAATGAAATTGATGGAAATGATCAGTGAAGAATAATCGCCTTTACGATGGATTATCGATAAAAATTCAGCCTTGATCTTGTTATTTTGCTACTTTTATAACAGCAAATAAATAAGTAAACTAAGGGACATTGATATGATGACGAATAACTTGATGCTGGGGGCATCCGTTTTAACTGTTCGACGTTTAACTCAATTACCGAATTAATCAGCTAATGAAATTCATTTTGAGCAGTTTGTTCAATTCTGGATATCAGAGTCAACTTCCACGAGGCATCAGTTAATCAGTAGAGAGATGAAAATAATAATAGTCTAGTCGCTGGTGCTCCACGATGATAAATTAATACTGAATTAGCCATGTATATTACCAGATTTAGGAATTCATTGCATTTTCTTTAGTTGTGAAATAACAATTAATAAATAATTGTGTGATTGATCATTAATGTTCATGCTTTTTACGGAAAAAAAAAAAATGATGAGTGCACCTCAATGAGTAAAAATTCAGGTGAATTGAATAAAAATTTCACGTGTATTTTAAATATTTATTCCTTTTTCCACCTTTAGTGGACAAGCCCATTTTTCTTTTTCATTTTCGATCGTTTCATTGTATTTTCTTTAGTTCTGAAATCATGATTAATTAATAATTGCGTGATTGATGATCAATCTTCATGCATTTTAGGGAAAAAATAATAAGTGCAGTTCACTGAGTAAAAAATCAGGTGAATTGAATAAAAACGCCAAATGTATTTTAAATATTTATTCCTTTTTTCTCCTTCAATGGACATGTTCATTTTTTTGCCATTTTTCATTGTTTTTTTTTATTATAAGATAACATTAACCTAAGCATTGTCGAGGGTCCACGCCCTGGCGTACCTAAATTATCGTTTTCCTCTTCTTCGCGTTTTTTTTTTTTTTCACTTTATATAACATCCCTCATGTCGATTGCAAAACTGATCAGTTTTGTCAGATTTTACGCAATTATCTTTCTCTCTCTCTCTCTCTCTCTCTCTCTCTCTCTCTCTCTCTCTCTCTCT